ACGCTGCCATGTGAATGTCCACTCAAGGTCTTTTCGCGGAAATCGAAGTAATTAGTTCTGGATAAGTATGGATACAAGGAAGTGGTGAACATCGATCGTTTTAAACCCATAAACGTCGAGTCAATGTTGGATGGTTCAGCATCAACCTCATGCGCTCACAGCACTCCTGTCCCTGGACTGTTGCTCAATGGCAAACGCCTGACCGCTTTGCAAGTCTCGGAACCTTTGTGTCCCCAACAAGCGATCCTATGCACACACTTTCTGGTCGTGGTGTTTCATTCCCCTCCAAACCAACACCATATGTTCCATGAACGCTATATCGAGCGTTGCTTACCGGCACACGCTCTAGGGGGAAGTTTTGTGGCGTTTGCGAGTACACTATATTTTATCTTCGTTTTTATCACTTAGGTTACTTAATTTTTTGTACCATTTATTGAAATTCACAAGGTTTGAATACAAGAATTTCAACGTGCTTACGTCGCACTCCTTTCGTTTGTTGCCCCTTGTGTTTGTGCTGCCGCCACCTATTTCTAGTCATTGGATTTAGATCTTCGAATCGCTAGTCGGTATCGGACTAACGGTATCTGAAAGAAGGGCCATAACAGAAATGTGCTTCATTGTGCTTCTATTGTGCTTTTTTTTGCCGAATATTGTCTTCTGCCTCTGGACTAGAACTTATTAGTTAACGATCCTCTACAATGAATCCATACGACCAGACTCGCTTATGTTGGAGTTTCACTTGCATCTATACACTGTGCAACCAATGTTTTCCTTCTAATGGACGATATCAATCTGTTCTTGCTGAATACTGAATAATGGTTCGAAGCAGCCAGTAGAGCTTTCTCTGTGTAGCTGTATCATTCGTCGATCTTGGACATATACTCCTTATTTATCGTTCCGCTCTCTATATTTTTCCTCTGTAAAGTGTTTGTCCAGGAGCTTTTTAAATTCCGACACTGAGTTCGCCTCTACTATGTGTTGCTGATTAAGTTAGCAGTTGCGTATACGTTTTGAAAGGTTGGTGTTGAACTATTGAAAATGAAGATTTGCAGTAACTGCCGGTCGCTTTTAACTTGATGTCCTTATTCATCTGATAGCTCAATTAATTTAACCGGCAGCACACTAGTGAACGCAAATCTGTCCATTTTCCACTGAGGGAACTTGGCTACGAAGGATTTCATTCGGCTTTCCCCTATCGAGCATGTTGGGGAGTTATTATATACCCGTTGGGTATTTCTCTTGCAGCAACTCTAACGGATGACACAAAACCTACTTTTATTTACTTACTACTCTCTTATTAACATGCGAAAAATTGTGTAAGTGACGTTTGTACTTTTCCTTGTTTAGCGCCGTTTCCTGCGAAACCATTGTATCTGGTCATGGCAGTGGTATTTTCCGCCAACAGAAGAACTTTTCAGACTGAATTTGGGTTGCTGATACTTAAGCAATTTCGGGACCTGATTCATGAGGATGCGTATGGTACTTAGTGCGGATACTCTGGCTCATTGTTTCACCTCCGGTTACAGTTGTTCATTAGGCAACAGAGCAAGCGAAACTTCCTGAGATTAGTTTAAATTAAAGGAAATCGGTCACCGATGACAATAGTTGACATCACCTAATTAAACTAAATTAACTGCAGTATTATTGGTGCAGTACTTTGAAATTCGAGGAATGCTTTGTCGCAGCTTCCTGACATGTGATCATGACACCAACCTGAGGTGCTGAAATTGGTCACAAAGTGCAGTCGACCAGAAAATATAATTATTTTGCCTTTTCCTCGTCACGTATGAAGCACTTTTTTGCCTACATTGTCTCTGCACCCAGCTTACCATTGCTTAAGAAGGAATTGACGATGCGTTGGTTTGTTTACAATATAAGCTATTTTGTGCTCAACGGAGGACGTCATATCGCTACTGGACGTGCGCATTAGTCTTGCCATAAATTGAGTTACGTTACATTATGTGTTTGCTTAAGTGAACCTCTCACTCAGTCCATTGATAACCATCTATCTACTTGAACTGTTTAGTTCTGATCTTGTATGCTCACGGCATTTTGCTGGATTCATAAGCGTTGGCTTTCTTTCTACTTATTTTGCATTGGATTCATCTTTTGTCATCTAATACTATTATTAGGGACAAACAATTGTTTCGTCATAACTGATGATGGCTAACGAACATCACGGATCGCGCTTTATTCATTGCAATGAGATGTACCGAACAATCTTATCCGCTGCATCTCACTGCACTGAGGATGCCACCTAGCATAGTGGTGAAACGTTTGCAACCAAATCGCCAAGCTCGGAGATCCAATGAACAATGGAATCAGCAAACCGGGCTACCAGTATTCCGAAACATTTTAAATTACTACGGGCGTTCCGTGCTCCGCTCTGCTCGCCGTTGATTTGGCTTCGCTTATAAGCTTCTACAAAACAGCAGCTGTTCATTCTTCACGAATGCCTAAGAAGAGACATTCGTCCTCTCAGTATCAGATACAGACCGCCGATCGATCATCCTCAAGCGTGGACTGCCGCTGGTCAATTCGGGAGGCCCATGGTACGATCGATGATCACCGACGCTCACAAGCATCACAAAAATATGAGAGATGCATGAACAAACATTTGGTTATTTTGTCTGGTGAGGGTTTAGTGATGAGAAATTTCACCAACTACTCAAGTAAACGCGAATATAACTGGTCCTCATTTGCCCGTAGTTAGTTACCACAGCCATTTTCACACTCAAGCAAATCATAGTACCCAGCTGCAAATTAATATTTATGGGTGTGCCAGTGAAAAAATCAAATGGTTGTATTCAAGTAATCTGCTAAATACTATCTGGGTTGTTGAAAGTAGCACGCCACATAAAGTGTAGTAAGAATTCGGGTATTACTGAAGTGCTCATCTTGTTGTTATTTGACGAAGTCAACAATATTTTACTCTTGTCCATTTTGTGAACAGAAGCGTAGTGCCGGAAAACATGGCTTGTCTATGGAGCTGTTTGCTAATTCTCGGCGGCACCTACCAAAGTTCAGCACAAAAAATTCGAAGAGTAACTGCAAACTTCATGCAGTTACTGGCACAGACCGAAATGCTGTACAAACCATTCAAGGGATGCGCAAGAGAACTGCAATCCTGCGGGATCCTGAGTGGGCTTCAAGGTTGACGAACCTAACCGAAATAGCCTCTACGCTTGAACAAGGAGTTTTGACGTAGTTACTTTGGGTTTCATCGCAGCAGCTATCAAATCATCTAGTCCTCAGCTTGCAGTTAACTTGGATGACGGTTCGCAGCTCTCGCCCATGCTTTTGCGGTATGGCTAGGGGTACAAGACGCTACTGGTCATGGGTTCGAACTACGATGGGCCACGTAGATGGAAAGTCGAGTCTTAATGGAAAGAAGCGGCTGTGTAGAGCTGCCCAAGCATGTGGAGAAACACCACCTGACTTGATCAATAGGAAGGAAAACCATCACTTTGAACTTGGTGTCGGCTGATGTCTGCCTAGTGCCGGTAGGGAATTCGAAGGTCGATGAATACATATGGTGGACATATCGCAGAGCCGACATCAATGGCGTTTGCGTTGTGAGTTTCGTGCTCCTTCCCCTCCCATTTACCTTCCGCCAACTATGGTCTCATACCCGAAGCATAATATGTTATGAAACATTGCATCATTTGTTTTTTTAGTTTTGTAATTTGCAACGTTTGATGTTTTACCTTTTTGTAGCGCGGCACATTAGTTGGGGTGTTTCACACCCTAAGCAAACGCGTACCGATGATGATGATAATAATAATGATGATGATGATGAGGAGGAGGAGGAGGAGGAGGAGGAGGAGGAGGATGGTTAGGATGATGATGATGATGTTGATGTTGATTATGACAATGATGATTATATTGATGTTGTTGATGAAGTTGATGATGACGATGTTGATGCTGATGTAGATTATGATGATGAGGATGATGAGAATGATGTTGATTAATGTTATTATTATTATTAGGTTGATGATGATGATGATGATGATGATGATGATGATGATGATGATGATGATGATGATGATGATGATGATGATGATGATGATGATGATGATGATGATGATGATGCTGAAGATGTTGCTGATGATGATGATGACGACGACGATGAGGATGATGCTGCTGCTGCTGCTGATGATGATGATGCTGATGCTGAGAATGATGTTGATTATTATTATTATTATTATTATTATTATTATTATTATTATGTTGATGATGATGATGATGATGACGCTGAAGATGTTGATGATGAGGATGATGATGATGATGATGAGGATGAGGATGATGATGATCTATGGTCTGTTATTCATATCTTATCGTTTTGCGCTCACATACGCTGTTATCAGGGACGCCTTGTAATACTTTACTGTTTACCCGTTGACTTGCAGCACCAGTGAATGTTTGTCTTCTACCGTTTCTTCGGAATTGTCTATGGACTGCTTGAGTTTTTCCAGGGTTACAAAATTCGTGCGACCAAAAAAGCTACCTATACTTTGAGGGTGTTTGTCTATTCGATAATAGAGTAATTTTGAAAAAAAACTTTGTGCGGCGCATATAACCAAAAGCAATAAGTTTCGCATTTAATTTGAGTCCACCTAATTAGGTCTGTCATAGAAGCTTTGCTTTTTAAACAGGTGCAAATGTTGTATCATCTTGGCCACACAAAGCCTAGGCACCACCTGCTGGTATCTAAAGTAGATACAACCACTACCGGGAACCTTGCATAAACTTGTATGCCTTGAACGCAGGTTGTACATTGTATGTAATCGAGCACCCATTAGGGTTCATGAAGCTTATTGTAACTTGATTTGACTACCAGTCGCAGGGGTAAAGCTAAATGGTAGAGAGAACTTGAGTCGTCATTTCGGAACGGTCTTTTTCTTGCTTTTTACAGAATATTTGTAATTGTTCTTGAAATTTAAGCCGTCTTTCTTTTAGAAGTCATTTGACGGCTTGATTTACACAGACCCTAAACTTACATGATGGGTTTCTTTGTATTTCTTCATTTTTCCCCTCTCGCTAGGAGTGTTTGCACCTTCACTTCGAACTGTGGTCGTTTGCTGTTCCAAAGGTGGGTGGGTTTGATTACAAGAAATTGAGTCGCTGAAAAAGTGCAAAATATGGTACGATGTGTACAGAACGAGCAGCGCAAAGTTGTGCAAAGGATAGGTCTAGTTTGAATAATTATCCGAGATTAGATATGCAGTGGTGTTTATTGAAATTACAATATTTATGACAGTCAAACCATGCTGCGTTGAAGGACTTTAGAAATAATTAGTATATGACGGTACAAGACAGCTCACGGCTTGATACAACCAGTGAGTTCAAAACGAATGCTCAAAGATGATGCTGAAGTCTCTAAGAAGAACAGTAAAACACTCACATAATGATCTTACCTAGGTTATTTAAGGTAAGCAAATGCAAATAAGATAGCCAAATCAAATGGTACTCGGCAACTTCCTGACATAACAATGGTAGCCTTCGGAATGCAAATGAATGAGTCTACTTTAATTTCTTGCGGTTGGAACAAACTTACCTGAAGTGGGGTAAATTCCTGCGAATGGAATCTCATTGGCTAAGTATAAAAGATTTTGCAATTATGTGCGGATTTCTGTAAGATGCATTTAAACGTGTTATAGTACATCACTTTTTAACTTGTTTTATAAACTATCAAGAGTTTACTCCTAACATTTACAAATAAGTACAGCCAAGACGGGAACCATTACGTGCACTAAAGTTGACCCGGAGCAAACGAATTCGACAAGTGTAGTTACACTTTTGCTTGACAAAAGGTAGCACTTATATTGCCAAATGCATAAAGCGTAAGTTTTGCAAATGTTGCTACTTGACTACAGTAGGCTATCTATGGTCTGATGGTATAATGCAGCTCATTTCACCGTAAAACACCTTGCGACTGCTACCAATTACTATCAAAAGCGACCTTGAGTTTGTAACTTATTTCCCTGTACTCCGTGTGTTTAATACAATGGCATACATAAAACTAGTAAACAAATTTTTTACTTGATATAGTGCTCATAATTACTCCAAGTTCTGATATAGGTTTGCTCTTCTACTGCTTAGCGAACTCCACGTACAAACCCCACCAATCTGAATTCTCTTTCTGTTTCAGTTCTTACAAAATTGACCAGTACTTTAGCCATAAACGAGACTAGCACCTACATTAAATATTTCGTTTCAACCTCTTTTTACTTAGTTACGCAGCATCTCACATGTGTACGTTCATCAAAATTCACTCTTCCTGAACTCAACCGCACAAAGCACAGTTTAAAGTATTTGGTTTTCCTTATTCCTTTGTAAAGTGCAGTGCGAAGAAGTTCGACGGATGCATGCATTTCATATCGTCGCTTCAGTACTGAGAATATATTACAAATGTCAGGTGGTGCAAACCAACAAAGAAAACAAAAAAATGTGGTTCATGTCTCTAAGTCCATGGAATTGTGGGGCTGACCGACTTTTGCTCAGAACACAAAGCAACGTTTTGATCCGGCTTAGTACACAGTCACAGCGAGACAGAGGAAACGGGAAGCAGTAAACTGCAGCAGGACTTTGAATGATGTGCTGACCTCAATCAAGATACCTTAGGTCCATATGTTTCCAATATGCACATCCCGACCTAGCTCAGATAGCAGGATGGACTGATAAGCCTATTGGAGACCCCGTAGTTGAAGTTCTCAGCTTGTCTGAGATCCTGCCTTGGAATCCTAGCATGATTCTCCAACTCGTTGTAACCATTCCCCCCAGATACGCACTTTCGTTTTGTGTTTCTGTTGATGATTCATTCTACTAAGCTGGTGTTAACGTCGTATTTTAGTGTAAAAGTAGAAGGAGTCTTCATGGAACTGGTTCCAAGCAACAACGTTTCTATGCAATGGAGCGTCACAGACCATTTTGTGTTGGCTAATGTGTAGATGACAAAACTACTGTTTTTGTAGTCCCCATTTACGCACATGCTGGCAACCTCACAGTTGCAGCCAAGAGTCGGTTCCATCAAAGGCTTTACTATGTACTCCTAAAGATTCTGGTAGAGCAAGTTAATTATTTGCAAACTAAATAGATTTAAGTTGCTGTCGGCCGGTATTCAAAAGGTTTGGGAGCCTATGTTAAAATCCCGAGGTCACCGGTTCAAATTCACATAGGTGTGGAAGACCTTACGATACGCCTAGGCTTTACGTAACAGACAGTGATCTCCTGGCAGCAAGACTTCTGTGTGGAATGCCAGTGTATAACTCATGCATTTTTCCTTTCTTTCATTATTTGCTGTTCAAATGACGCCAAACGAAAACCGCATAGAGTAGCCATGTTGAAAATTTTGTGACCGTTTGGGTTGCAGAGATAACTGTTTACTATTTGCCCTCATTACCGGCACATCACCTCCATTACAGACGTTTGTTACTTTGGAACCCACTATGTTATTTGACGTCAACCATCAGGGACCTTAGTAGGATGGTCAAATTATCTTAAGTCGCACATGACGTGCCATTGTTTGACATTACTAACTATTTTTGCGAAGATTCGCCGCAGCTAGACTAAGACAGACAGCCACCACATGCGCGGAAGCGCCAGACAGCCGTTTTTCTCTATTGAAACTTGTCAGTAACACGTTTATGCGGAATCCTATTGGATTAGAACGCACAATCCTACTCGTACGTCCCAATGACTTATGCCACTGGTAAATGGGTGGCGGCACCTGACCACCATGACTGATATTTAGCTATGATATAGCGTGTCTCATCCTCCAATGCCATGCAGGTTATGAACGTGCAAAGGATAGGGCTGGCCGCCATGGCAACGACTTCCTTTGCAAGATGCCTACGTCTAGCTGCGACGAAGCTTCACAAAAGCCAATAAATCACTCTGTTACCTATTAACTCTTGAGCCTATTAGTCAACTTGTGTTCCCTTTGTTTTGGGGCACACGCATAATAGAATTAGCTCAACTGAAAGTAGGTAAACTGAAAGAACCTTATAGTAAACTTACATTTACCCCCAAAACCGTTCCCTTTGACTTACGGTACAGTATGCATTTTGCTACGCCCCAGCTCAAACTCTCGTGTACAGTCGTTAGAGAACACGTCACTCTAGTGCGCTACTTGTACCTGAGCTTACGGTACACATTCTAGACACCCGTATTGATGGATGAACGGTTACAGTAACGTCCTGATGCTCAAACTATTTTGTAGCAATTTTGCACCATAAACATTTAACATCAAAACAGAGGTTTACCTATGGAGTAGCCAGCCTTTTGCAGCTTCGTGACTTCGTAATGTCGCGCCTTCTGGATTATGTGTAGTCAGTCATTTTAGGAGTTCGACCGATTCTGCTTTCCTTGTCTAGTATTCAAATGTTGGAATTGTACAGAATTATCTGCTAATTTGCTTAAGGTCGGTCGCCTGCAAGATCATGGAAATGCTCATTAACTGTGCCATCCACCGACACTGCGAAGGTCTCATTTCGTCTACTCAACAAGGCTTCCGAAAGGAACGTACCTGCAACACTAACCTGCTGATGGCAAGAGAGAAGTGGGTTAAGTCACTGGACGCTGGAAAACCTTTAAATGTAGTCACCATCGACTTCAGCCAAGCTTTGTCAGAGTCCATCATGAGGAACTGATCTCTAAGCTCTGCGGAATTGGCATAAGCTGGAATGTCCTACTATGGATCACTGACTCGTTGCAAGGCCGGAACCTGCAAGTCAAGGCAAACGATACCCTTTCATTGTCAGAGTCTATGTCTAGTGGTATATTACAAGGCTCCGTTCTCAGACCGGAATTGTTCAAGATATATATCCATGGCCTTTTAAAAGTATACTACAAGCGGACTGTCTGATCTAAGCAGACGATTTCAAGCTATGGTCGGAAGTGTCCAGCCTCGAAGACGCCGACCGATTAAAAGAAACGCTTGATCTACTACACGCCTGGTCTATCAAGTGGGGGTTGCCAGTCAGCAAGGATAAGCGCTCTGTCCTTTCCATCGATGCTGCTGTACCACTGAGCATCTATCACATTGGCGGGTACCTACTCAAGGTTGCCACACAGGAAAAGGACCTGAGGACTATAGTATCATCTGAACTCAAAACTATCCGTGACACAAAAAAGAAGACTGGGCAGCGAACAGGATGTAAGGCATCATAAGGAGATCATTCTCTAAAATGACGCCGCAGATATGTAAGCTTATCTTTACCTTCCACATTCGTCCAATCCTTGAATTCGGACTTCCGGCCATAGCCCCTTCTATCGAAGCATGAAAATGACAAGAACGAAAAAATTCAGCGACGTGCCTCGAAATTTTTCCTTGGGTTACGCAAACCCCTATCCCGCCTGACTACAGAGGACGAATCCTTTTCCCTTAGGCTATCGCCGACGTCGAGGTGACCACATCTATATTAGGCGTATCCCACGATGGGAATTGAGAAATGAGCTAAGGCAGCTTTCCAGCTGAGGCTTGGCAGTTCGACTCGAGGGCACGGCTGGAAGCTGTTTAAACCAAGTAGGTTCAAAGTCCGCGCAGATGTTACTCTCTCTACTCGAGTAACTAATAACGGGAACCGACTGCCGGACTCCATTGTCAATGCGCAGTCAGAAGCGAGATTCAAACGTTTGCTAGACTTCCTCCTGCTGAGTACTCCAGGATCCTGCAGAACTGATACTACATCCTGAACTATGTCACAGCTACTACGCTTGCAACCCTTGAAAGATCGGGTAGTGAAGGAGCTGACACGGGACCTCCCTTCTGCTCTACACCACTCAATGTACTTAATAAATAAATAACAAGTCAGAACAAAGAGACCACTTGGTGAGCAATTGCTTTCGATGATTCATCATCAGACCGATACAATCATATATAGGGTTAAAACAGGGTAAGATCGACATAGTTGATACAATTAACGTAGGGTAAAATTCGAAAACGGGTTAATTAAAAGCGCAATTTGATTCGTTGTCTTACATCGAGAGCACGTCGAATATGCTCTGAAGACACCTTAGACGCGGAGTTGACGTTTATACAGAATGTGTTACGCGAAAATGGTTACCCTGACAGATTTATTTTAAGAAACCTTGAAGAAAAGCCAAAGCCGGTACCATTGTTA